ACCATTTCGACTGTAAAAGGATGAGGTTTTGCTGCCATTCTAGTAATACGCTAAAAGTCATAAAATCTAGGTACCATAGAAGAATTGTTCATCAGAACATTTACAATGGAAGTATTTATGAGAAAAGACAGATGGAAGCTACATTATGGCCGTGGGAAAATGACTAAAGTTGAGATGCCAGGTCAAGACCAATAACATTGCAGATTGTTCTTTGGATTTTATCAAGGATCTCGAAATACATAGCAAGATTCATATGTGGCAGCAATAGTAATGTTTGTCTTTTTGTTATCTTTCTTAATCCCTGTTCTGCCAACTATTTACATAATATCGTCAAGTAGGTTATTCGCTGCATCCCTCTGTCCCTCTTGTGCTCAGTATGTCCTGTGAGTGTCAAATTTTCTGAGCCCACTTTTCTCGTTATGTGCCCTAGAAATGTCAACTGTCTATTTCTGATTCTAAGTAGAAGTATTCTTTTTGTTTCAATTAATTCTTTTTGTTTCCTTCTACTACTACTAGTAGTAGTACTACTTCTTCTTCTACTGTTACTTCCAACCGTGTTAGTTGCATTCACTCACGTGCAAATACCCTTTGGAATGGTATGACTCTATCTTCTCCCCCAGCTATGGGTTAAATAGTCGTACTTCTATCTGGAAAATTATTGTTGTTCTCATAAAATTTTTTTTATGGCAGCATTCACTCGCAAAAAGTATTCTTCTTGCAATCCAAAATATGTTTCGGATTTAAATAACCGACATTGGGTTGATAAAACGTAAAAAATAAATCACTCAATTGGTTTACTACTATTACTTCTACTAATTGCTTTTTACTAATGCTACTGTTATTTCTCTAGAATTGTTAATCATTTCCTTTTTTTTATCTATCTTTTCCTCGTATTCATTCTTCTTCCTCTTCTTTTCCTTCTTCGTCTTCTTTTTCGTCGTCGTTGTTCTAATTCCCCCCCTCCTGTTTTCTTCCGCTTATCTTTTTCTCTTTCGCTTATATTTTTCGTTACTCCTGTTAATATTATTACTGTGGAATTATTTACCTTTTCTTCTTACATCTTTCTCCTTCTGATTGTCACATTTTCATTTTCTCCTTGAAACCTCCTCATCCTTCTCACCCTTTTCTTCGGCCTCGCCCGACACAATTTTTTTTCTTTCTGTTTCTTAAAAGAAATATCCTTGGAATTGTTGTTGCTTTCTCTTACTTATTTCCATATTCTTCTTTTTCATTCATTTTCTACTTTCAGTCCATTATGAAATCATCTGACTATACATTTTCAGTCTTCTTCACGTCTTGTTTTTCCTCTTCTTTTTCCCCCTGTGTTACTGCTGCTGCTACTACTACTACCACTATTACTACTACTACCACCACTATACCATCACTTCTTCCTTTTGTTTCATTTTAAGGTTTATTTTCTTAACAAAAATAATTCCCTATTATCTTTGCTGTCATAATCTTCATTTTCCTCCTCATCATTTCTTTCGTTCTTTTTCACATGTTTTTTGTTTTTTTTTCGGTTACTTTTTTCCACGTTACATATTATCTCCTTCTCACCTTCTCTCTTTATGACGATCTTCTAAGTGTAGCTTAGATGTAGAACAACATTGAAAGTATCGGGTCACCCAGTGAGGATCAAACTCACTATTCAGTCGTAACTGATCTAGCGAGACAAGCTTGCTAACTACACCTTATCTCGTTATGATTGTTGTTTTGTTTTTTACCATTTCCTTCCTTTCTCGTCGTGAATATTTCACAATTTGGCGCCGACGAATTACATCCAAAGTTCTAGACTATCGTCCAATAATATCCATTCAATTTATATTGCATTAACTGAAGCAAATAACTTCACAGGAAACACCACACGTGATTAATGCTGTACATAAACATGAAATTATAATTGCGTGTTTCTACCATTTCCGTTTCTGATTTTGACTCTCCATTTAATTCGCTCGGAACATCTTTGCCAAATCCCAAATGCCTTTTCTCTATACGACGCTTGCCGACAGAAAGATAACAAAACTCTTTCCCAAAATTGTTTAATCAAAGAACAATATTTTATAATTAAGATATTCATTTTGCTAAATGAACACTTCCTGTTGGATAATTTAATAGTTTTTTTTTTATACAAAGTGGGTCAAAAAGTTTCTGCTGTTGACATATTTTGCATTTGTGCATTTTCCTACTAATTAAAATACTTCTACCCCCTCTTTCTCTCATTAATTCTCTCTGTATTCCCTCTTATTCTCGAAAAAAGGACATTTGAGTGCACGTGTCTTTGTCGTCACATGACCACTAGTTACTCAACAGGAAAGAAAGCAAAATAAAAAAGAAACAAAGAAACAAATAAAAAAAATTGTTTCATAAAGAAGCATGGCTGTATTAGTGTTCTTAAAAGATCCCTCAGTAAGCCATTCTTTTGCCAATGACATAAATATATATAGCTTAAACTAAAGCGACCGACCGCCTGAGGAGTGCGTAAAAATGCTTGAAACTGCGTTCACTGCCCACTTGAAATTTGGCTTAAAGTATTTTAAAGTTCTACCATTTTTTATAACATTCAGCACTCTGCATCACTCCAATGTACAATCTTAGACAGACTCTTTTGGGAGCTGCTTATTCTTATCTCTAATTACGTATATATATATATATATATATATATATATATATATATATATTTATTTTTTAATTCATTATTTCTTAATACGTTATATTTTAGTGAATACATGTGTCTGAGTCTACGCACTTTGAATTGTATATACGGAATGGTGAAAAGCTTTTAAATACACAGTCCGGGATATGTCATTCACAATTTTTAAGAAAACAACCAGAACAGCGTCTCTACTCAAACAGGTGTATACACTAAAATATAACGCTTAAATAATAATAATAATAATAATAATAATAATAATAATAATATTATATATATATATATATATATATATATATATATATGATTATAGGTGAACCGTCTAATCCCACGAACTATCGGCTTATTAGCTTTATACCTCTTTTTGGCAAACTACTACAAGCCCTGATCAACTGTGAATTGGTTAAACTTCTCCCATCTCAAGGCCTTCTTTGAGAACATCAATATGGTTTTCGCTTCTCTAGGTCAACTGCTGATGTACTAACGATTATTCCTGGAAGTGTCTATTAAATTTTAAATAAAATTGGTGAAACTCGAGTTGTTGCTTTGGAAATCTCGAAAGCATTCCACCGGGTTTGGCATGCTCGTCTTTTTAATCGGCTGAAAGCCTATGGTATTTCCGGGCGAATTTTTTAACTGATTAAGTCTATTTTATCAAATCGCGTAATGAAAGTTGCCCAGAACGCCCACTCTTCTAGATCTTTTGTACTAATTCCGGCTCTATCCTTGCAACTACTTTGTTCTTAATGTTCATTAATAACATTAATTATCAACTTGATATCTATGCTAATGACGCAGTGATTTACTCCTGTCACGATAGTAAAAATATCTTGTTAATTTTAATACCGAAACCTCTAATTCAATCAACTGAAAGACCCTTTCCTGCCACCCATTAGCATAGCCGTGACTAACCCCAACGAGAGTGACTCGTTGAGCCTTCTCGAGCTTACATTCCCGTTTGATATGTAGTGGAAAGATTATATGGAATTCTTTGCCAGGTCTACTTCTGAGAAAGTTGGTTCACTGTGTCGTGCCAGGCAATCCCCCCCCTAGTGAATCTGTCTTACATATTTATAAACCTACCATTCGCCCATGCCTTAGAATTTTACTGCCCCATATAGTACCAGTGACCTTGCTTTATATCTAGAGATTCTTGGTGAAATTCAAAGAAGAATCAGCAATATTATTGCTCCTGACCTGGCGTCTCAGCTTCAGTCATTTTCATAATAAATTGTCAGATGAGCTCCTAACTATGGTACCAAAACTTTATGAATTTAAGCGCAGTACTAGATTGGCGGCAAGGTCTCATCAGTTTACTGCTGAATTGGGACGATCTAACAGTAAGTTCTATGCTAACAGTTTCTTTTCTCGCACTTCTAGATTGTGAAACTGTATTCCGGCTCCACGCTTTCCAGTCAACATTGATCTTCAAAAATTAAATGAAATGTCAATCGTTATCTATTGTCTTCCTGATTACTCTTCTATTGTTCCCACTCCTTAATAATATTTCTTTTTTTCTTATTCTTTCGCACTCAGTAACCTCTTGTCTCTTAATGGCTTTACTAAGTTGCTTGGGGGTGATATGATTTATATATATATATATATATATATATATATATATATATGAGGCAGATGTCTTATGTATAGAGAAAAATATTATCGCAGACAATTTCTAATGTTTAAGAATAGCCTAAACATAATAGAGTTAGATTTTGTTTGTTCGCGGCAGATGTATCACGATAAAAACACATCTGCACTTCAAATAAACTGATTCGGATAAACACGCATTTAAGCATTGTTTAAATAACCTCTTAGTCTTCCAAGTATACACGTCCTTCACTATGTAAATATACACATTCAGTTTGCAAGTAAGCACTTATGAAATTATATAACATACAGATACAATGATTTTATACGAAAGCACATCTACATCAAGTTCCAATATGTGCGCGTGTTGTTAAGTAACGAAAGGTCATTTTCACTCAAGTAGTGTCCATATTTAAGTAGTTTATCGGATATTTATATCTGTCCAGACGCTCTCTTGACAAAAGCAAAAATATCAGTCATTATTATTATTATTATTATTATTATTATTATGTAAACGGCCATTTTGTTTTCACATCGGTCATACCAGGTCTTACACTGGAAATCAAGTGGTAACAAGCCCTCTCAATAATTCCAGTATATTCTTCAGTAGTTTCACCTTCCTCAAAATTAGATGTCAAGACAATGCTAAAACAGACCGAAATGCTTCTTCGTGCCTCCATAGAACCCTTTAGTGTCACGGTACAGTGACGAAAATACAGGTTCGTACTAAAAAGCCAAACAATGACTTCAACATAGCACTGACCTGCCCCCCCCCCACGAAGGGAAAAAGGGAAAGGGGTAGACTAACAAAGAAATAACGAAGAACAATGGAGAGAGAGAGAAAGAAGCAATGGGCTGGTGAAGCTGGATGAGGCGCGAATGACAGCTGCGGACATTGCAGGGTGGAAATGTTCTGCAGAGGCCTTATGTGTCACGAAGTATCAAATAGATAGATAGATAGATAGATAGATAGATAGATAGATAGATAGATAGATAGATAGATAGATTTGTAACCTAAAAAGGATTACTGAATGAGGAATAATCAAAACGGAGGTTGGAAATGAAATGGGAATCTTTAAAACATCAACAAAATACAATACACGCCAGCGGTGTGAAGTAGGTAAACCACTGCTTGTGGTGGACTACTTAGAGAACATATTAGCCCCTCTTACCATCGTGTCCAACGTATTTATGATGATTGAAACATACCCATTAGTACTCATAGGTACGTTATATAACAGATAGATAGATAGATTATTTTAATTTTCCTACCCTTCGTTAGTTCGCATGACCGTTACGCCTTGCCAATACATTATAAATAATGAACTATTCCGTTTTGATCCCGTAGAAAGAGGGGAAAAGATACTAGTTGCTTCCAATGAGAAAGAAAGAATGAAAGAAAGAACAGATAACAGTTTTTAACGTCTCCTGTCAATACCTCATAAATAATCGTTTTGATCGCGTGGAAAGAGGGAAAAGTCACGATCCGTTTTCAGTGAGAAATGAAGAAAGAAGAGAAAATAGAAATTGTTTAACGTCTGTTTCTGTGAAATGACAAAAGTTGTTAATCACAATTTTTTTCATTTGTATCCACATCTTAAAATAACGACCGGTATTCATATTTATTATTGTTATTGCAATATTTTGTTAAAGTCGTTAAGCTCAAATATGTAACGATACTATAGTGAAATTTCTACGGGTATTTTATTATTTTAAAATTCGCTATGGGCTTATTCAATCATTAATTTAAGATTTCAGATTCAACGGAATATTAAAATGGGAAAAATTTCATGGGTTAATACTAGCATATAATAAATATGAGTAACTGGGAGTAATAGAAAGAAAGAAAGAAAGAAAGAAAGAAAGAAAGAAAGAAAGAAAGAAAGAAAGAAAATTATGTGAATTTTCGATGGCTAAGTTAAGTGACGAAAATCTCATTTAACTTTTCAGCATGCCATCAGCATGTCTGATTCTAGATTCTTGGAGAGTAACATAGTGCCCCTTCTTGGTCTCAAGTGTTCAACTGACTTGAAGTGGAGTGACAACATCAAATCAATTGCTGCATCTATTGCAAGGAAATTTGGGTCACTGTGTCGTGCCAGAATTGTTTTTCTCGTCACATTTACAAATCTACCATTCGCCCGTGCATTGAATACTGCTGCCATATCTGGTCCCCTGTTATTCATCTATAGTTTCTTGACAAAATCCAAAGAAGGATCTTTAATGTAATCGATCCTGATTTGGTATCTCGACTTTCTCACCCACGTGGCATGGCTTCTCTTTTTCTTTTCTACGAATATTTTTATGGCAACTGCTGCTTTTTCTCTGGTGCCCCGACTACATGAATTTAAGCGTGCTACTAGATTGGCATATAGATCCCACCCGTTTCTTGCCGAAATAGTTAAACGTAATCGCCACTTGTGATCCAACCGTTTCTTTTCTCTTATTTCCCACTTGTGGAACTCCTTTCTCTTTACTTGCTTCCCTGAAAGCTAGAATCTTCAAAAATCTAAATGCAACGTCAATCGCCATCTTCTGTTGTCTTCTTTTATCTTTTCTCAATCTCCCCCACCTCGCCCATATCCAGTCTTTTCTCTCAGTTTGACTCTCTGTAACCCTTTGTGTACTAGTGGCATTTTCGCCTTGCTCGGGGTAAAATGATTAAAAAATAAAATAAAGATAAAAAATAAACTCATCATTTTCATCATCATTCTGTCCGTTTTCAGTAATGGTGTCGCCTGGATTGTCTCTATTCTTATAATTTCAAGTTCTTGTGCGAACATAAAACTGTAATCTTCAGACAGTTTTTAAAACGACTGGCAATCTTCTGATCCAGGCCGCGGTTCGATTCCCTTTTGTGTCGGTGTGAACAAGAACTAGGAAACTCCCGGGCTAAGTTTAACATAGAAACAGACGGTGAATGTCGCCCCAGCAAGAAAAGAAAACATATATCCTGCTTTTCAATATTCTGTTTTTGTTGTTGTTGTTGTTGTTTTTTTGTTGTTTTTTTTTTTGTTTTTTGTTTTTCATAAATTCACCAGTAACTGTTTGGATAAGTAACACTTAAGATATTTTTATGCTACTTCTTTCTTCTCTCACGAGAGACTAACCGACTAGATCTTCCCTTCGACAAGAAAGTTCTCCTAGTGACCCTCTGCATATCCATGCAATTGTCACTCTTATTTTCCCCTCTGTACATCACGTATGACGTGTGACTCCGACTCTTGACCATTTTAAATACGACTAGCATTTATTTCAAATGCAACCTGGTTTTATTCGTGCATGTTCGGAATCCCCTACATTCCGGCCGAATTGTGCTTGATACCGAATTTTTTTTCAGGTTTTTCTTTCTTTTTTCTTTTCATTAAATTCTTTTTTTTTCTTACTTGTAACACTGAGTGGTTACATTGAAGCATTTACATCTCGATTTTCTTTATTGGTTATCATAAAACAAGATGCAGGTAGAATTCTTTTATGGTACACTTGACTACGTGGGTGTCCTAAGCCATTAAACGACCACAACCTATTGTGTTACACTTACAATCTTGTTGCTAGACTCTCCGGAACCGTACTAACCGCCCCCACAATGTTGGGCACAGTGATGGCGAAACTGTCACGTATTTCACAATTTCTGTTTGTTTTCTTTCGAGTTCCTGATACTTGCTCATATTTTCACTTTCTTTCAATTTTTCTCCGTCGTCTCCTGGAACATTTTTTCTGTTTGTTTATGACAACGAGATGTTGTCTTTTGAAGGTCAAAATCTCAGGGTTTTTTTTATTCTCTAAGAAAGTTTCCGGTTTAAACATAGCATCTGTGTGTATGATCAAATCTTTTTATTGTTTGTTATGCTGCCATTTTGATTCGTAAGCATCTTTAGTCCTCAGAAGAATGGACAATTCTATTTAATTCGAAAATCACAGGATTAAAATAAGCGAACAAACAACTAAATTTTCTCTTGCTTCAAAACCAGATTGAAACTACTGAAATCCCTTACTCTCTCCCCCACTGGTAGGCTTTTAATTTTCAAAGTGAAGTGTTATGTAAGTAAAAGATTAACCGAAATTAATTTCGCTACTTTAACATTAAGATAACGTATTTATTTATTACTATATTTGTCTTGACCGAAGTAGCAGAAAATAAGAACTGAATATATTGGTAATATTTAAAGCTTAAGACCCGGATATCGTGGATAATCATTTTACTCGTTAGATGCTACTTGTTACGTGGCTATCAATAGTCATATGTTAAATTATTATAGTTTTGACCAATTCTTGTATCATGGCTCTAGCTGTTAAGCTTTTATCTTTAGGATGGGGATTTATCAGAAAGCCCACCCCGAACGGAATACAACACAAGGCCTGGTTTAAAGTGGATGTTTAAGTTAAATACTTATAGCCACATTAGATTTTATACTTAATGTATTTTCAGCCATTTTGAATCCGTTTGCTACTATGCCTTGTTTTAGTAGATATTTTTAGACTGTTATTTCTCTTTCTAGTATTGATAGGTGTTTCCTTAATAACTATATTTAGTCACCCCCCCCCACGTGGGCATCATGTGGCATAAGGCCGGTTTAACGTGGGATATCCGAGCCAAAAACATTCCCATTGAACCCGTATAAATGAGTTCAGGGTCGGTTTACCTCCCGAAAGAGAATCCGCTCTTCGGCGTAGATTCTTTCGGGTTCCTCCCTGCCCGAAGGCAGAGAGTTCAACCGAACAGCCGGTCAGGACTTGAACGTGTTCCCTAATAACATTTTGCTTTAGCTTGGGTTAAAATATATGGTTGTGTCATGGTTAGCACACTTGAATTAGCTAGAACAATTACTAGTGAGTTCGATCCACGCTTTCGGCCTTTCCGCACCTTAGAAGCGTGCTTTTGAGAGGATTTTTTCCGTCAAGATAGATACTGCAGATGTAGTATCTGTTCTGTACCGGAGGCTTTCTCTCCTCCCTTGCGGTTGTCCCACCGTTGCGTGACATCAGTTGCGTACTGGTAGTATGACCAGCTAAGACCAGCGGTCCGAGTGGAAACACTCGGGTTCCCACGTTAAAAACCGACCTTGTATCACAACCTGACTCAGTGTGGCGAGGGTGGGGGCAAGATAAATCTTGGGTTAAAAATTAACATCTTCATTATGAAATTATTATATGCGATATCCGTTTTAATTTTTGCTGTTGGAAGTCTTCAAAAGATGTGGTTTCGTTATGGGCTAAAGATCTTTGTGATTCTGTAGGGCCTGTCTAAGAGGTCTGATAAAAAATTACCTTCCTTAAAACTTTAAGGTTCATTGGCCTGAAACCACTTTTAAACCATTTAATCCGAGAAAACGGCTGTATATCTAATTGTTTAGACATTTCAGAATAAGTTGAATGCTATGTATGACATTCGTATTAGAGTCTACATCTGACTAGGCTATTTAAGACCACGGTTCGAGTTAGTGATAATAACATGCTGTTATATTACGACAGATGATGGAAACTCTTCTGATATTTACTCTGCTTACATTAGTCTGGCATAGGACCAGGAGAGTTCAGTACCTAGTGAAGATCGAATTCACTACATCAGCGAATGGTTTAACGAGGCTAATTTATTAACCATCATCGCATGACAAACTTAAAATGTTAATCGCTTTTAAATTTCCTAACCCATGCACGTATATTAAATAAATACAGGTGCCGGCACGATTAAATTGTTTCGCTCAATTTTCTTGACTCAAGCCCGTTGTTTATTCGGTATGGCAAGCTAAAATAAAATAATTATCTCTGCAGCACGATTATTTTTGTTCCAGGGATAAAAAATAAAAGTCTCCATATATTTTATAAGTTGAAATATTCCTATCGGTATTACTATTCCAAATATTACTTTTGTTACAAAAAAAGTACCTAAATTTAGAATATATATGACTAAAGATGTATCGTAAAAATGCGCTTTCAGTTTTTATTTTTAAATGGCAGTCTTCAAATAAGGATATTTAAACAATACTAAAAAAAATGCAGGTGGTTGGAGAAGAGTTCAACTTCGAACCTAATTTCAGTTTTTTCATTGCCTAAAGAATGCTACCTTTAAAATTCTTATTTAAGCGGATTCTCTTAGGAATTAAAATGCGATTTTGCCGTGACTCTTGGTAACGAGGCTTCCGTTGAAATCAAATAAACTCCAGCAATTAAGCGGGAAGCTCCTAGGTGAAAATAGATTTAAATATTTAATATAATAAACGGCAGCACTTAGAATCAAAAATTGAAAATAACCCTGGAACCTGTCAGAAAAATTGCAAGCAAAGATCTACAGACAAACAACGGCGCGACAAGTGAGCTTAAAATAAAAACGTGAAATACACTGGAGATAGACTTCGTCACTGTTATATTTAACGCCCCCCCCACGTGGGTCGTATGTGGCACAAGGCCGGTTTAGCGTGAGTTCTCCGAGCCCGTAGGCTCGGCCAAAAATATTCCCTTTGAACCCATATTGACGGGTTCAGTGCCTGTCTATCTCCCCGGACGAAACTTTGCCCTTTGGCAAAGCGTCGTCCGGGTTCCTCTCCGCCGAGACAGAGAGTTTGACAGCCGAACGGACTGAGGCACCGTTCCGTAGACTTCATCACTGTTCTTTTTTGAACATGCGGTCAATCATTAAGGAAGCAAGTTGAAGTCTTATCGAAAGCTTCTTTTTATTTCTGTTTGCGCTTATTATTAACAGACGTAGAATGGCGTGGTGACGATGAAAGTAACGGAAATTTAGAAGATAGAAATAACAGTCAAGAACTAATTAATAAATATTGACGTCAGTCATATTAAAAATTTAAGGATAGTACTTCAAACAATGCTTGCCATAATCTATTCCGATCTCTGTTTCTGTCCCGCGTTCTATCACTCTTTCATTCTCTCACATAGCGATCTAATAAGCGTAGCGTAGATATGGCACAAGGCCGAAAGTATGGAGCAAAATAAGCTTGTTAACAATTACACCACATTGAGTTGCCCGATTCTTTCTCTTACATAAATGTTTTCTAGATCTCATTCATTCTATTCATCTTTGTCACCCTCGATATTTCTTCCTCTCCCTTTCTCTCTCTCTCTCTCTCTCCCTCTTTCTATTTATATATCTACTATAAATCTGAAACATAATGATGAATTTTATACAAAAAATTAATAATCTACTTTTTTGTCAATTCACTGAATTTTAGTGGTTAATATTAATCAAATAAAAAGAGCATAATACAATGAAAATATCAGATCAAATTTCAGCATCAAACTACGTTTCAGGCTCCGAGCTTATTGATCCAACATTGTATCTATCTCAACTGCAATACGTGACGTCGCATTCGGGAGAGAAGACAATGAAGCAAGTTTAATCGGCTATGTTATCTTGGTTTTTGGCTGTGTGGTTAGAACGTTTATTGTCCGATCATGAGACCCGAGTTCGAATCTCATCGGCATCGGGATGTCGATCACGGCGTGCAGCATTTTTGGAAAGTGCCTGGAAACCATACCACAGGTTAACTGAAGCTTTGTGAATAAAATTAGGTAGACGGAACTACTTAGGAGCCTTCGATGGTTGTACGAGCACGAAAGTCACAAGTCATCGTGACCGAGGATTTGGGCGTACTGGCCTTGTTCAGACTATTGATCACGCCAGAGAACGCGCTCTTACCCAGAAACTGTAACTATGGTCCCCTCAGGATAATTGCTGTATAAAACGCAAGTGAGTTCTGTGATTGTCGAAGAGACACAGATATGCCGGAACATATTTTCATTAAAAATTCCTCATTGTTTAGATTCTCCGTCCAAGATAATCTTAGCATCTTTCTGTAAAACCAGAATATCTGTTGCCTTAAGTCTGCTCATCATCTCTGAGGAAGTTCTCCAGCATTTACTACCATATAGGAAGATTTCTATTACTGTTTAGCACTTAATTCTTTGTTTCCAACGAAAATTTCCTGCTTTTTAATAATTTGTTTTCCTTTTTGAAGAAATATTTTGCTCTTCAAATGCGCCTTTGAATTTCAGTGCTAAGTTTCCATCCTCTGTAAAAACTCATATCAGATATTTAAATTTTCATACTTGCTTCATTTTGGTTTCGCTAACTCGTAGTTCGCTTCTTTTTGTCTTCCTCTTGCTGACAGCCATACCTTCTGTCTTCTTACAACTGATGTTTAGTTGTTTCCTTCTCATTTTCATTTATAACTTTTTCTAGGACTTCCTGTAGTTTTCTTTCCGGGCCAGCTATCAAAACTGTGTCATCTGTACATATGTTGTTAAAATTGTTTCCCTCAATAATAAGTCCTAATAGAACGTTTGTTCTCTCAGGATCACCTCACAGTAAATGTTGCATAAGTCCGGTGAGAGGACCCATCCTTGTCTTACGACCCTTTCTGTTTTGTGTACTTACTCAATTCGTGTTCTATTCGTTTGCAGCCGTCTGGCTCCCAGCATAAATTCTGGATCATTCTAACATTCTTCGCATTTAAATCATGTTTTCCTAGAATTTTTATAACAGATAATGACAACAGTAAATTATTTTAAGCATACCTATATTTTTAATTAAAAAAAAAAAACAAATTATATAGAAAAGAATAATGTATTAAACGATTGATAAAAACACAAGCTTATTAACATTCAGTACAATAAAAACAAGTTTTATAGTCTTATTCTTGGAATTTTTAAATAACATTTCCCTTCAAGATTTAGATGATCATGTTTATTCATAGATTCTTATTTTTTGACGTCTGCGTGTTATTATGACTCATTGGAAAAAGAAGTTATGTGGCTTTCAGAATCTCCTTCTTTTTAATTGAATGCTCTATCAAGGCTAGGGGAAATCATTCCACCCAACTATTTTACTCAAAAGCGAGGAAGAACAAATAGATTCATATCTCTCAAAAGAGAATTGGTGCAAAATGAATTCAACAGCCAGAGATGGAATTTAAACTTGGCTTACCGATTCCGTTTTCAACTCCAATAACCATTATGCCACCTACATATCCATTTTTGTAATTACTAAAGGATAATTCAGGTATTTAAAAAAATGGTAGGAAAAATCGTTACAGACGTCTTTATAAGAAAATCACATAACTCGTAAAACGTTTTTCGGAAGAATTATCTTTACAATGCTTTGAGATATTTTGCAAGATCAAAGTATCTTTTATCGATTTACCTCCATCGGAAATCGTTCCGAGAAGTTATCTGAACTCTTATTTGAGGAAAGAAAAAAAGGTTTAGTGAGAAAATCGCGTTCGATATCTACCATGTTTATCCCATTATTTATTTATTTATTTTGCAAACTTATTAGGCTGTATTATTCTTCTGTCCGTCTGTGGAAAATAGATCGATTCCTGACAACACCAGACGAAAAAACTGTTCATTTGTAACGTCCTTTCAAAATTCCTCTTCTGTTGTTTATGCCACACGGACAGAAGCAAAATGTGTCACTCGGAAATGTGATTGAAAAATTCCAGATAAGTAAAACTATTATTTCGGCTACAGTCTTTGAATTCCTATGTAATTATACAAGCTAAAAAATTGTCAGCTCCACCCCACCCACCACACATGTATATATTATAATATTTAATAAATATTTGTCACTTACACACATACACACATGCAGACACACACGCTCATACACACACAAACATATAAATATACTATATTTAATGCATAATATTTGTCTGTTGCACAGATATGCACAAATACACGCATGTGTATGTGTATAAGAGAGAGGAGGAAGAGAAAGAGAAAGAGAGTCAAGTTTGGATTAAAATCTGACAGAATATTGGATATATAAGACAATTTTGAAAACTTCTATTTTGACATGTTTCGACAATGAATCGGCTTCATTAGGGAAATTTATTTAACTAAAATCTTCCTTAGCGAGACAAAACTGTGACTCGCGTTAAGCATAGAAAAACTAGATTTTTGCTTTAATGTCATCGTTTTTATTTAAATCTAGTTTATATTTTATAAATGATCTTATATATATATATATATATATATATATATATATATATATATATAGGGCGGTAGTTATTAATGGGGGGCGGTTGTTATTAATGGGGCGGTTGTTATTAATTTCACTATTTAATAAAATAAAAACAGGAATGCGCTAAAGGCAACGTTTATAGTGATGAGAAATAACGTCTCATAAAAAATCCTTCCACAGATAGATAGATAGATAGATAGATAGATAGATAACAAACTACAATAAACCCAAGCAATTGTGAACCCGACACAGCCTGCCAAGTGACCAAAAAGAAAAAAAAAGATAAAAGCAAAACCAATAAATTAAAATAAAAAAGAGACATAAACTGAGAAGAAAACTAACCAAAGACAGACACTTACCTAAATAAACATAACGAACACCAAATATATTTGTATATTTTTTTATTTAATGTCTATAATATTTTGCTATGCTAGTGTTGTCATCCTTGCTCTGGCGATGTCTTGTATCAGTGTATTTCTTATGATATGGGAGAACTATTCTAAGATATTTACCAAGCCGGGATGTAAAAAGACCAACACTAAGAAAATGAAGAAAACAAAAAAATATAATTGGAAAGATATATTTAAAGACTCGTGTGAGGAAACCTTATTAATAGTAAGAACTTAACGAAATACGCCATATTGTTTTAGGGCATGGGTAAATTAGAATAAACACACATGCAAAAGCATACACACGCACCTACAAATTTATATATATATATATGTATAGAGAGAGAGAGAGAGAGAAACTAAGAGAAAGAGAGAGGAAGAGAGGAGGAAAAGAG